GACGCCTCACACGAACCAATCCCGTGCGACCAGCTCTCCTCCCATTGGCTGTCCTGCGCCAGGACAGCGCGCAGGAGCCAATCCCATGGCCCCAGTGCCGCTCTGTGTGCTCTGCCATGGCTGGGCAGGGCAGACACATCTCGTCGGGTGGGGAACACCCCACAGAGTCCTACAGTCATCAGGGTTGGAGGAAACCTCTAGGATCACCGAGTCCAACTGTTAACCTGTCACTGCTGCAAGCCCTAAACCAGATCCTCCAGTGCCACATCAGACACCTCTTAAACACCTCCAGGGCTGGTGACTCCACCACCTCCCTGGGCAATATCCAGTGCCTGAGCATCCTGACAGGGAAAACATTTCTCCTAACATCCAATCTGACTCTGCCCTGGCTCAGCTCAAGGCCATTCCCTCTCTCCTCTCCCTGCAGCCCTGACAGGAGAGACATCCCCCACCTCTCTCCAGCCCTGTCAGGGAGTTCATAGTGTCAAAGAATGTTCAGGGGTTGGAATGGAGCTCAGAGATCCTCCAGCCCCAACCCCTGCCCTGGGCAGGGACACCTCCCACCAGAGCAGGTTGCTCAAGGCTCATCCAACCTGTGAACACTGCCAGGGTTGGGGCAGCCACAGCCTCCCTGGGCAACCTGTGCCAGTGTCTCACCACCCTCACAGCAAAATTTTTTTCCTGATACCTAATCTAAATTCCCCCTTTCATTTTATCCCCCATCACTCCTAGCTGTAGAGAGCCATGAGGTCTCTTGAGCCTCCCTTGAGCCTCCTCAGGACTGAACACCCTCAACTCCCCCAGCCCTTCCTCATGTGTTCCAGACCTTCTCTGAGCCTCACTGCCCTTTGCTGGGCTTGCTCCAGTGCCCCAACATCCCTTCCAAAGTGAGTGGCCCTGAAGTGAATCCATTCCCTTCCCCAGCCCCACAGTGCAGATCCCACCCCGTCCCTGCAGCACTGGCACTGCTGGTGGTGTTTTCTCTCCTTTTGCTACTTTATAAAGTGCTGTCTGTACATACTGACCTTACAAAAGCAGGTTAAAACCATGGGCCAGGCACCCACCCCACCTGGGGCTGCCCCAGGCCCTGCTAGTGTTCAGTGTGCAGGTGACACCCTGCACCAGTGACGTCCTTCATCAGCCTCAGCGGGCACAGGCGTGGGGACAGGAGTCCAGTGCAAGGAGACAGGGCAGGGGTCACCCCCTCCCCAAGGCCCAGAGCCCCCCAGTGTGGGGGTCCCTCCAGGCTCCGTGTGTGGCACCACAGTGGCCGAGGACGTGGCCTGAGG